ACCATACGTAATTTAATGAGTACTTTACACCAACAACAAAACGATACGTGAAGTCTAAAGGTTCACCAACACAAACCTATACAGAACAAGTGGTCCTCTGTAGCTCATTTGGTAGAGCATAGCGCTTGTAACGCCAGGGTAGTGGGTTCGATCCCCGGGACCACCCATACGTAAAAATATATGCACACATGACTGTAAGTCTCTTTGGATAAAAGCGTCTGCTAAATGGCATATTATTATTATATTATTATAAGATCCCACAATCAACTGTGCAAAACAGGCTGCCTAAGTATGGTTCCCAATCAGAGACAACGAGCAACAGCTGCCTCTGATCGGGAACCACCCTGGCCAACATAGATCTAAACGATCTAGACAGAAAACAAGGAACAATTAAACATAGGAGCTAACACCCTGGCTCAACATTAAAGGGTCCCCAGAGCCAGGGCGTGACAGTACCCCCCCCCCTCCCAAAGGCGCGGACTGCGACCGCGCCAACCAAACACCACAGGGGAGGGGCCGGGCGTGACCACCACTCTCTCTCTCGCCCTCGTGGTCTGGCCCTGCTGACCGGAGCTGGACTGAACACCGGTGGAGCGGATTGCTCTGGCGTGGGGCAGCTGACCGGTGCCGGACCAGGCACAGGTGGAACAGGCACGGACCGTGCCGGACTGACGACGCGCACCACTGGCTTGGTGCGGGGTACGGGAACAAGCCGGACCGGGCTGACGACGTGCACCACTGGCTTGGTGCGGGGAGCAGGAACGGGCCGGACCGGGCTGACGACGCGCATCACTGGCTTGGTGCGGGGAGCAGGAACAGGCCGGACCGGGCTGGCGACGCGCACCACTGGCTTGGAGTCAACATGGGCCAGAATCCCTTTGAAACGCTTTCGACACCTTGTAGAGTCCATGCCCCGACAAATGGAGGCGGTTCTGAGCAACAGGGGGTGCAACTCAATATTAGAAAGGTGTTCATAATGTTTTGTACACTCAGTGTATGTAGGCCTACATGTTTTTAAACAGTACAGTATCACAGTACAATGCCATAAAGCGTGGGCCTGTAGTACATGTAAATCAACTTAAAGTTGGTTTTTATTTCCATATGCAAAGAATAAAGCATAATTGTTCATGTAATAATGTAATATTAGCCTCATAACAACTCCAGGAATAGGAAATAGTGATGAAATAATCAAATAAATGAAAAGACAGAGACAAATGCTTTTGAACTACTATTTATTTTATTTGAAAAAGTAAAATTCAGTGCAAAGTAATGTAGTCCACTAGTGTCTAGATCCCTGTTAGGTGGCAAAGTGTGACAAGAATCCTGTGGGGAGAGAAAACAAGAGAATACATTAATTTAATAGGTGTTAACTAATCAGGGTTCAACGAAGCACTTCAAGTCCTCAATTCCAGAGAGAGAGAGAGAGAGAGAGAGAGAGAGAGAGAGAGAGAGAGAGAGAGAGGAGAAGAGAGGCCCTTCAGGTCTCTGCAGTAGGACTACATGCTGGCCATGAGGTACTCGAGGTGGTACTCCAGGAGGCTGGAGAGCTCAGTGACCAGAGACTCTCGGTTAAAGTACCAGGCCAGCTGCTGCCCAAACATGTCATCTAGCAGAGCCATCAGCCCGCCCTGAAGGGAACACCACACAACACATAGAAAATGGCTCTGAGCTACTAGCTTATCAATAGGAGAGAGACAATGAGAGTTACTCCCCCTAAAACGGCATTGAAACCCTGTTAACCAGGAACGAGTAAAGAGGAAGTAAACTAGTAATAAGGAAGAAAACAGGAAGTAAACTCTTGACTCGTACATTGAGCAGCAACATGTATCTCTCAGACTTTGGCTCAATGCTGGCAACAGTGGGCAGGAAGGAGTACAGGAGAGCGTACAGACGCTCCATGAACCCACCAGGTTGCTAAAGTAAACAGAGGAGGAGAGAAGAGAAATTGAAGTGAAATTGCTAATAGACAGACATCTAAACATTTACCAGTGAGATGCTACTTACCACCATCAGGGATTTCTGAGCTGTCATCATCCCAAACAGCACCAGCTCAAAAAGGACATCTATCAGGTTAACATGATGGATCTAGGACAAGAAAACACGTTTGGAGAAAATAGGAATGATTTCAAATAGATCAGCTACTGTGCCGTATAAAAGACATGCATGTGGAAGAACTCAAAGTGAGACTTGAAAGAGTTAATTAACTCACTTTTGCCTCAGCCAGCTCCCTCTCAATGTCAATCTGCTTGGAGGGGTCACTCAGGTAGTCCACAAAGTCGTTATAGGCACGGATGAATTCGGCCTCGTCCTATCACAAAGCAAAGAGCAGTGATGTTAGTGCACAGAACACATTTCCCACCGAGGACGCTCTCTTTCCCTTGAAGGACAATGAGTTAGTGAGCTACCATCTGGTGGACCTGAACCAGTGCGCCCAGTAGGACCTTTCCCGCCACAAACAGATGGTTCCTGCTCAGGGTGGAACCGAGCAGGGTCTAGAGAAGAGGGAAGAGTTAGGGTGAGACACACATCTTCCTCTAGGAGACAGACAGAACAGGAAGACACAGAGAGTCAAAGAAAAGTGGGTCCACTCACAGTAAAGGCCTGGCGCAGGGAGACGAGCCTCAGGCCGATGTCCTCCACTCTCTTGGTGGTAAGGTAGAGGCTGTGGAAGAGAGGGAATGGAGCATGTCAATGGGGGATAACAGCATTGTGACCACTATCCTTCAGCATCTGACAAGCTCAGACTATACACACATTTAGAGGGACTCACTTTAGCAGAGGAACCTCCCTCTCCTCAGGCAGCAGGTCCTCCTCCCAGCCCTACAATAACAGAACAATTATTCAACATCAGTGACCAATGTAATGACATGACAAACAATGGGTCAATCGAAGGATCTTAATGCTACTAGTCAATAGTATGTGTATGTGTGTGTGTAACATCTGACCTCATAGCAGTTGTGGCCATCAGGCTCTGGCTCAGTGAACTGCTGAGTGGTGGGCGTAGAGACGGAGGCAGCCTCCGACCACGCCGAGGAGGAGAGCAGCCCATCCAGCCCCATGTGGAGAGTGGCGTACACCACCGAGACATCAGTTTGCTGCTCAAAACACACACACACAACACACGTTAATAGAAAACAGACCATATCTAATGGAAAATGCCCTGTAATTTCTATTCTATATACATAGGAAATTGTTTATTTACCTGGTAGCAGCCATGCGTCACGGCCACAGACGTTTCGTGGCGGAGGTGAGACGCATACTGGGTCACCCTGCCAGCCACATACTGACAGAGAGAAACGACATGTTAAGGCCAAACGGAATAAGTGAAGAAAAGCCTAATCTAATACTAATTCAGTAGTATTTACATCTTACCTGGATCCAAGAGATGGACTGCACCTTGGTGGCACAGTAGGGGATAACCTCTGGACTAAGTCTGTGTGTCTCCTTGGAGATGGCCCACACCAGTTGAGTCTCCAGGCCTCGAACCCTACTCACATGGTGCATCCTCACCACCACCTGCTGTGGAGTTAAACAACAAGACAACATCAACAAAACAACATCAGCCATCGCTGTAACATATTTCCATCAAGATCACATGACACTGACGATGTAGATTAGGATTAGGTAGTGACAAAGACACATACCTGGGATCCCCCACGCATGTAGGTGATAATGGGGCTGATGAACTGGAAAGTTCTCCAAGCTTTAGTCACCGGACCGGCATTGTTCTGCACAAGAGGGGGTTGACATTACAATACATTCAGGTTAGAAACAGCAAACATTGCAACAGTGATGTGACTGTGTGTGTGGGTCTCTTACCCTGATCACAACAGGCCCACAGTACAGGGAGCTAAACCTAATCGGTATCAACTGCCAATTACCAGTGGCCTCCTAAAGCAGAAAGCAGACAACAAAGATTTTTAGAATGTCAAAGTGACACAAATTGAATATCTGGGATACTTTTCAAACATAAAACTTTCTGAAAATTGTACCTCAAGGATAGTCAGCACATCTGGCACCTCCTCAAGGATGGCTGGCAGCAATGGTACACCCGGCACATCATCCAATGGCACAACCAACTGGACCTCATCCAGGGCAGTTGATTCTAAAATTAGGAACATTGGAATACAAACAAACAAATGTTAGGATGTAAAACGTATCGAGCTAACTAGTACTACTAGTTCAAAAGTGCATCTCTTAGCAAAAGTTACTAAAGTTAACGTTAGCTTGCAAGTATGGATTACAGAAATACACAACATTTCACAAATTACATTTATATTGTTAAATGTGGTCAAATAAGAAGTTTAAACTCAACATACCCTCTTCGAAGTCGATGTCGCTGTCCACCTCCCGACGATTGCGAACCCTGCAAAACGGAAAAAGACAACAAAAACAACCCACAAATGAATTTGAACAACCTGTCGACGCAGTAGACCGCCGACATCCACGCACTCTCTCCACCAATTTTGAAAAGCACCCAGGCATTTTCCAGTCGATCTTTCAGTCTCAGGTCTCAAAAATCAGTCAAGTTTGTTGTTGTTGAACAGCAAACTGAAGTTGTTGTTGTTTTCGAACAGAAAACGTTCAATAGAACGCCGAGATGTTCTATCGGTTAGATGTCTCTTGGCAACACATATTTTTGAAAATTGTTGTTTACAAAATTGACAGCTGTGTTGCCATAGAAATGAGTTTGGAACTCTATGCTTACCATTCTAATTCTATAAAAATTCCATTCCTAGTCATCATTCTAATTCTATTGAC